GTAAAATTGACGATGTAGAATGGTCACTTTCTAGTAGTGACTGTTCGATTTTGTTAATTTTCACTACACTAAAATTAGGTTTTTGTGGCAATTAATTTATTCTTTAGCGACCATATAAATGATCATTATTTTTTTTTACCAGCATTTAGATAATGGCTGGTGTATCTAGTGTCGCTAATACTATTACCGGCATTTATATAAAATGCTGGTAAAGACCTACTAAATTGTCGGGAAAACTTATTTTTTTTAGTGACAATTTTAGTAGCCATTTTAAAGGCTATTAAAAATTATTTTTTCAATTGTCTCCTTTCCACCCATTTAGTGACTTTTATCTTTTGCTAGTAAAACTTTAAATAATTTATTCCTATAATTTTATTTTCTAAATTCATAACTTATATACTCTTTTTTTTATCTCTAGTCGATGTGAGATTTGTAAGATGAGGGTTGTCTTCTATTTATATATTTTTTTAATTGTCTTATCTCTTAAGAGATGTGAGATTTATAAGGTGAAAGTTATTATAAATCAACTTACAAGGTGATAGTTATTACTCACTTATATACTATTTAATTATCTTATCTCTAATCGATGTGGGACTAATTTTTTTTCAATAAATAATTGTCGCTAATAGTAAACTTTAATGTAATATAAATACACTTTTAGTGACTATTATATATTAGCCATTAATATTTTTATTATATAATTAAATAGCGACAATTAAATTATTGTCATTAAATAATTGTCGTTAAAAATAATTTTTGTTGTAGTGTTTCTTTCATTGGTTTTAGTCTAGTCCTCATACACTTTGTTATTTTTTCTCTTTTTATTTTATATATTTGAATGTTCTCTAAATGAATGGGAAGTTTTCAAGTGCCAACATTGTTAATGATGTTATATATGTATATATGTATGACTTTTTATTTCAAAAAAAATAATGAAACACTCTTTTATTTGAAGTAGAATATGCATCATAATCTTTTATTTATTATAAGTAGAACATGCATCATAATCTTTTATTTATTAAAAGTAGTAGATGCATTATTTTGGATATATGACCAATTTTCACCGGCCATATATACCTATATTACTCGGCAATTGTGGGCATTGCCAAGAATTCTTTCAGCCCTTGAGAATCAGAGTCGAAACACAAGCCATAATCAACACGAGGATTAAGATAACGAGCACAGAAGTTGCCACTTCCTTTCTTCACGCATTCATCATGAGATTGACACAAGTTAGGATGTTCCTCCACCATCTTTGCAACAGATGCAAGTCCATCGCCGATGCAAGCACCAAATACACAAGTACAACCAAGGCCGCAGTCTGCGGACAAATTACAGAAACTATCCAAACAATTACCACCTGCTTCTATTTTCTTCATCCGGAACAATACTGCTAAAAACGATAAATGCCCAAGTTATAGAACAAATTAATGCATAGTGATTAATTATATTATATGCTTTCTCGTAGTACTAAACTATATAATTGGAAATCACGAAAAAATAAAAAATAAATAAAATAAAAAGAGAATGGAATGCTTCTTACGGGAAGTGGCAAGCAAGAAGAGAGCCAAAGGAGCAAGCCTAACACAAGCCATATTGCTTAATTTCAGTTGTTCTAAAGGAACCACCTGCATATGTGTTATGAGTTTTGCACTGTGTTAGTTTCTTCTTGCATGTAGCAATTTATAGGCGATGTATTACATGTTTTTAATTTCTTCAATATAAGAGTCATAATTATCTTACTCTAAGAGGGTGGAGATAATGCCATATTACATAAATGTTGAACACGTGAATGGCTTCAGACATTGCGTTATCATCGTTGTAATTAATTGCCAGTTGCCATAATGGATAATTCTCATTGATTTTCTAATTTTTTTAGGATAATGTTGCTACAGGAGGAGCCAATAGCCAAGTCGTAATAGAAAAAAATATGGGGAAAAAGGTTGATTATTTGCATATAGATTAGTACACAATTATTATTGGAATCCTTACCATTATCCTTTATGATCACCTCAACTCCAACATATGAAACATTTGGCATTGTACCATGAAACAAGTCATTGGTCGATAATTTCATATTTTGGACAATTTAGAGGTAGAGGTCACCGATTGAATTTGGAATAGGTCCAATATTTTTTCATTTTAAATTTTTTTTGAAGTTTAATCAATTTTAAACATAAAAAATATGATAGATTAATATAATGGTTAAATACTCTGCATTCATATTGTTGTGACGATTCATTTAATAAGAAATTTCTTGTTCAATTCTTATCGTCTATGAAAACTTCTCAGATTAGTTATTGAAATTGATTAGTCTTTGACTCCATCTAGCTCAGATGCCGTAATTGGACCAAAAATTATTTTAAATATAAAAAGAAAATCAATGAAATTGAATAATAATTAATAGTTCTAATTTAGGGGATGTTTGGTAATACGAAATACTTTTACTCTTTTTAGAGAATGTTAAATTGAGGATCTCTATTTTTTATATTTTGTACGTTATTTAAAAAAATTCTAAGAATATAGTTTATTGAGAACTATTTTTATCTTACTTTTCCTTAAAATTATTCTCATGCGAAGATGAGAATCTAACTTTTTCGAAATAGGAAAAAAGTTTAATGTGTATAAAAAATCATACTACTTATTTTTAAAACAAAATCTCTCTCTCACTCTCAGTCTTACTGTGACACTCTTACTACCTCAACACATATATTGTAATAATGTAAATAAACTAAGGAAATAAAATTTTTAACATTGGTAAAATGATTCACATAAAAACTTTCATAAATGTTCTTCAATATCTAAAATAATTAAAAATAAAAATTAGAAAATAAAATATAAGAGTTTACAAATTATTTTTAAAATAATAAGTACAACTCTAACAACATATAAAAATTCATGTCCTAGATATCCTCTGCCCCGATGTCACAATATCAGAGCACATCCATAATGCAACTATTGGCATTCTAGATGTCACTCAAAATCGGATTTTCCTCACCTAAAACATCCACAAATTATACGGTGAGAAAAGAAAACATCTATATATAAAACACACAAGGAAAATCCCCAACATAAACTCATCATAACTCATTTTAATGAAATATTCACAACCATTTCTATATACCCTAATTCTATCAATCATGCATCATCTTCACATCACAATTCACAATCACACCAATCCATCACATCATATAATATGTACTATGTTAAGCTCACGTCACCCCTGTAGCATCACGTGCCCAAGTTTGTGCCACACCAACATAAATACTAATTATCACACATAGATCTTGCAATTAATATTATGCCAAGGTCATGCCACCCTTGTAGCATCTCTTGCCCAAGGTCGTGTCATCCCTGACATAAGTGTGAGGAACCACAATCACATTTCATTCATAATCATCACAAATCTTGTAATTAACACTGTGTCAAGATCACGCCACCCTTGTAGCATATCTTGCCCAAGGTCGTGCCACCCCTGACATAAGTGTAAGGAACCACAATCACATTTCATTCACATTCAACAAAACATCTCATTACAAGTCAATATACTCACATCATAATTAATTAAACAATTAAGCCATAACATAAGCATATCCCAAGGAATCCAATTACCATCTAGATCATCAATTTTACCACAAAAAAAAAATCAATTTTACCAAATAATATAACAACAACATTTATAAGTCAAGATAAAACCTGATTGAATCACCAATTTAATAGGATCTTAACTCAATTGTAAAACCCCTAATTTTTCCAAAACCTAACTCACAAACACTTTTTTACAATTTCGTTCTCTTTCCCAGATCATCATTTTTACAAATTACTTACATATTCACAATCCTCAATACATTCAAAAATTTAATGGAATCATCGATTCTTCAAATAGAAATAATTATAAAATCAACCATAATCCTACGGAATTCCTCCTCTACCCAATTCCCTCATGTAACTTTGCATACAAATAATTCCATTTTCCGTATACCTTGATAAGAAGTAGCTAAAACTAAAGCAGGATCTGGTTGGTCTTCTCTACTGAGTTCCTCTTGGTCTTTAGAGAGTGTATAAGAAAGAAGTTAGAAGTGAAAAATTGTGTATTTTGGGAGTGTCAGAACGTGCTATTTATAGACATCAGGATTGGCCAGCACGGCCCGTTTCGAATTCGGAATAGCCCATTCTGAACTCATTCGTCATGTGTAAAATTCACATCTAGAACGGTCCGTTCTTAAACTAGAACGGCTCGTTCTGGGGTTGCATTTTAACCCATAACGACCATGTTTGGAACGACCTGTTCTTACACCAGAATGGCCCGTTCCCAACTAGGGTTAATTATAGGCCTTTCTAGTAGTTTAGAACAGTCGTTCCAGTTTGGGAACGGCCCATTCTAGGCTACTATAAATCACTTTTATTGGGCTTTGAGCCTTCATATAATCTATGAAAATCGGGGTGTTACACTCACTCCCCCTTTCTCCATCTCCCTCACTATATCTATCTCATTTTATTTCTCTTTCTCCCTCTCTCCCTATCTCTCTCATTCTCACCCCCCCCCCCTCTCTCTTCCTCTCTCTCTCCCTCTCTCTCCCTTTCATATCTCTATTTTTCTTTCTGTCTCTTTCTTGTAATTCATTATTTATTGACCTTGTCAATTTTAACAATATTATTAAAGTCTATTTTATTTTTTTAATTTAATAATATTTATGTTAAAACCCTTATTTGGTCCCTGATAATATTTTTTTGTTTCAATTTAGTCCCACTTTAATTTTTTGTCTCAATTTGGTCCCCAATAATTTAAATTATTGCAATTTAGGACTTCCGTCCAAATGATTTAAACGGAGCTAACTGTTGGTCACGTGGATGCCAGGTGGATGCCACGTCGATGCATACGTGGATGCCAAATTCCATGAATATACCTGGAACCAGAACGGCCTATTCTGAAACTAGAACGGCACGTTCTGCATGCACATGTTATGTATTAATTTTGCAACTGGAATGGGTCGTTCTAAATGCAAATTTAAAACAATGAGTGCAGCAGAACGGGCCATTTTGAAACCAGAACGGACCGTTCTGAATTCAGAACGGCCCGTTCCAAAACGCCATCTTCATGCTTTTTATTGTATTTTTTTTTATTATATCTATATTAATAAAAATATAATAAATAAAAAATACAATAAATTAATATTCATTTATGAATAAAACTAAAAAAAAGAATGAAATAAGATAAGACCTTCCAAAATCCTTTTTTGATTTGAACTTATCCAGTTCAAAATCTTGACTAAAATGCCACAATGTGATTCAAAAATTGATAATAAAAATTCATAATATATCATAAATTCAAAGACAGAAACATGGTTCAGAAACTGAAAACAAAAATTTAGAACATAACATATACTAAAAAAGTTCAAAGAAATTACTGAGAAAGGAAATCATCTGGGTAACGCTGAAGAGAAACCCTAAACCATAAAAATTCAGGTTGTACCTCCTCAATAACAGGTTGTTATTGTTGGGGTACATCGTCAATGACTTCAAGGAGAAACACCGTTTCGTTTCATCCTTGACTGTATAGTGTCAATTTGGTAGTAAGTGGTTCACTCCAGTTTGACTAACAATGAAATAAAACCTGCTACCATTGTCCTTAATGATACACTGCATCGTCTTTAATGATACACTGTATAGCCCAAATGTTTAGCAATTGAAGTTATCAATCGTCATTGACAATATTACCAAATCTAGTGTTTGAAATGCTCTGTACCTTGGGTGTTTTTTGGGCACGAAATTCTAGAACTAGAACGGTCTGTTCTGAAACCAGAACGGCCCGTTCTGGTTACACTATTGGTGTGTAAATTCTGTACCTAGAACGGCCTGTTCCAGGTACAGAATTTACACACCAATAGTGTAACAAGAACGGGCCGTTATGGTTTCAGAACGGACCGTTCTAATTCCAGGTGTATTCAAGTATTTTGGGATCCACCTATGTGGCATCTACGTGGCATCCACGTGGCCACCAGTTAACTTCGTTTAAATCATTTAGAAGGAAGTCCCAAATTGCAATAAATTAAATTATTAGGGACTAAATTGAAACAAAAAATTAAAGTGGGACTAAATTGAAACAAAAAATATTATAAGGGACCAAATAAAGGTTTTAACCTAATATTTATTAATATTTATTTATTTATTCATTTTTTTTAATGAAATGAAATAATATAAAATTATCTTTCTCAATTATTATGTAATATTATTCTTTGTTATTTCTTTTGTTTATTAATTCTATATTTAAATAATTTTAACCATAAATTTTTAACTTTTTAAAATAGTTTAATTTCATATTTATAATAAGATTTGAATAAATAAATTTATTTAATAGTTTATTTTAATAAAAGATGTTTTTTTTTTAAAAAGTATTTATATACCTTGAAATATATTATTCTAACTAAACATACAAAATTTTAATTTCCAAAAATTCTTTATATAAGAATGTTTATGAGTAATCAAATATATTTAATTGTTTTCAAGAATTCACAGAATTTATGATTTTCAGTAATCATAATTCTGAATATGAAAAAAAATTTCCCTCACTAAATGTCCCCGTAAAGTTAAGTTTAAATTGACAAAATAATCTATTAAAATATTTCGTTTATCTTAAGGCTTAAATGAGATAAATAAAAGGTAAAAGTATTAGAGT